TTCCTCACTACTTTGTCTCATTCCTAGAAGAAGCTGGTTTGTGTGCAGACAATCTGGCATTGAAAGAAACCCATTCTCTCTCCTGAGAGCCTGAAGGTGTTTTCATTTCTTAAGGACAGATTATTTTTCTGAGTGCCAGCTCTAAAGAGTTAAGATACTGGGGGCCTTTATACATATTAACTTATTGGAAACCTCTTTTTGAGACAGTAATTTCTACTTTGCAATTATGAAAAATGGGGCTCAAGAAGGTTCAGATAAGCATTCAGACAGCAGGCACGCTTGCCTTGCCACTCTGTTGTCTGTTACATCAAGCTGCTGTGTTAATAAAAGGAGAAACGTGCCTGATATAGTAATGGCTGACATTATTGATCATTTACTACATGCCAGGCATAGTGCTTCCTGTTTTTCACATACTCAATTTAATCCAAAAGCCCTCCTTTAGAGATGAAGCAACAGTCACAAGAAGGTAAGGAACTTGCCCAAAGACAGAAAGTTCCTGGAAAGGGAGCCAGGATTCGAACCCAGGCAGTCTGTAGCCAAAGTCCCAGATTTTAAGCATTTTCCTAGTGCTCTTTCAGTGAATCCTTTTTTTAAAAAAGGTTTTTTTAGAAACCTTTTTTAACTACACACAGGATATTTAAGGAGTGAAGGGCTTACTGCCGCTTACTGGCATAACTGCTCAAGTGCTGGCTGCTCCAGCGCAGTCGGCGGGGCGCACTCCACAGAGCACCGAGCGCCAGAGCCGAGCTCTCCTCGGCTCTCCCTGGGTCCTCAGCGGTGGTGCTCAGTTGAGATGCCACTACACCTAGAGAAGCCTTCCTTGGGGACACTTTCTGCCCTATTTCAGAGCTACCACGTACAAGCTTTCTTGCGGCATGAACAGAGTCCGGTCTGATACATGCTTCCATTTTCTTTTGGTTTTTACATTTGTATTGGGGTCCCTTTTTTATTGACAGGGCAGGGGTCTCTTCCCTATCAATGTCAGCATTCTGTTTCTTCAGTTACTTCAGTGCCCTGGGGCCCTGGGAGTGGACTGGGCATGTCCCCACCAGCCTGGGAGGCACAGGGTAGTGGCAGGGCGTGCCCTAGATGATGATGATGGCATACTTGGTGCAGAGGCTATGGGGAGGGCAGAGCTGCAGCACTGAGGCCCCACCGATGGTGAAGGACGTCTCCTTGGCCCAGGTATTCCTGATGGCCAGGCTCGTGGCCATCTCAGTCTCTGAGGCAATGACCATACACACCTCCTTTACAGCCTTTGTCTCCAGGCTTAGGAGACTTTGGTAGTGATGTCGTGAATAGAGAACACTTTCCTCTGTTTTCAGTCTCTCTCCCTCCTGCACAATTCTTGCAAAATAACTTTCCACAGCCACCTCCGGCCATCTCAGTACCGAGGGCTCCTTGCTGTGGACAGGTCATCAGCTATAATGTTTTCTGAATTTGCATCACTGCCCCACCTAATCTGGGTCTAACCTCTTCTCCAAAACACCAGAGGTGGTGAAGTTTCAAGTATGGATGAAAATTTTAGCTCCCTCAGCTACTGACCTATCAGGCCAGTGATCAGACACAGGGCCTGTTTTACTACCTATAAAATGAGCGACAACAACACCCCTATCAAAGGGTCGTCATGAGGATAAAAGTAGTTATCCCCTCAGAAGCAGTGAGAACTGCTGCCAGCGTGTAGCGATAGAGGCGATTTGCGCTGCCACGAGCCAGGACGAGGCCCCTCCACCCCCACTTCTTCCCCAGGCCAGTCCTCCGCTCCACATCCCCTGTTGTTTTTCAAGTCCACCCTGACTCATGATGACTGCATGTTTGTTAACGTGAAGTTCCTCAGAGTAGAAGTTTTATCTCCAATTCTTTATAAGGTGTGGGATGCTTGATAAATACACAGGATCGTTACCCCAAATTAGTCATTTTAATAGTCTGTCCTTACATAAGAAAGTTCAAGGTGACCCTTTAAAATTCACTTGGTTTTGCTTCTCTGTTTACTTAAATGCTGACTTCTAAGCATAAATGAAGGATTAGGACGCTTTCTCCTCCCCAATTCTGCAGGCTCTCATCTTCCACCTACTCCTTTCTCACCGTCATTTACAACAACATTGCCGTAAATACTGACCCCAGGGCAGTCAAAGTCATCCTCAAATACTATATAAAACTCGGGGGTTATTATTACCACGGTATTACTGACAGATCTTGTCTCTGCCAGCAATTACTGGCAGGAACTTGTCCAATAACACAGACAATTTTCATCATCCCCCCCCCCCCCAGTCCCTTTCCAGGTAGAAATGATAGAACTTTACAGGTCAGGAGGCAATGTATTCCCTTTCAACCATAAACAGTGGAATGTAAATGTCAAAACTGTAAACAAAAATGAGAATGGTGGGTAAGCTGAAGTCTGGAACAGTCTGAGGGTTTGGGTGGCTACAGCAAACAGACAGAACCCTGTTGACTCCAGGACACTCAGTTCTCAGAAGCTGGGGAAAGCAGGAAGAGAAACTCTCCTTGCAACACACAGCCTGGGCGGGCCCAGTGCTGGGAGAGACCTCCTAGTAGGACCCACCCTTCCTTTCTTCTAGATTCTAGTCCAGTTCCATCGCATTACAGACTAAGTAACGATTAATTACCCATGTCTTGGCTCAGGAACAATCCTCACAGATAATGTCACTTCAGAGGGAAAACATTACCAGTTCTAGACAACTGGCACATAGCTGACTTTCTGCAAATGTGTTTTTCATGAGCTCGGGATAGCACAGAGCTGGAATCAGTTTCCTCTGCACAGGACAGGCCAAGTACTGTGTCCTAAGTAATTTGCAGTGAGAAGTCAACCTTGCTGAGATGAGTAATACAGAATACTTGTCCAAATTCTCTGATCCAAATCTGGATTAAGCAATAAATAATAAAATGGCAAAAAAACAAGAGGTGACTAGATGAGAAATGGAAAAGACTGGAGAAAGAGAGCAGAGCCAGACACACGAGGCCCAGACCCCGGCTCTGAAGCAGCAGCTCACATTCTCAGGCCACCTGGCTCTCCACAGCCCAGGGCATTCCGGAAGGCTCCCTGACTTTAGCCTAGGGAGAGCCATCGCAGGGCCTTCCTGACTGTCAGCAGCACACACAGCCTGTCTGGCCTACTTATTCTCTCCTCCCACCATGCAGCAGTTACCCTGTGGCTTCATCATCACCTGTGTCTCCCAAAGGAACATGAACTCTAACAAGAGTCACACTCACGTCCTGCTGGGCCCAAGCACAGGGCGGCACATGAGGGCACAGCACACGTGTCTGCGGATCGAGTAGGGCTGCTGCGTGCAGATTCAGTGGTAAGTGGCTCATCGCTCCACTTACCTATCTATGCACCTAGCTGTCTACCTGCTTATCTGCCTACCTACCAACCAGTGCACGTCTGATGCAGCCCTTAAGAAACATTAAATAAAGCAAGACAGAGGATGGCACTGTTATGAGTCAGCAAGTATTTGCTGAACAAGTTGGACATGTCTCAGAGCACAGGAGAAACCAGGAGGACAAAACATGGTCTGTCCAGCAGGCACAGCAAGGGCCACTGCCAATGACAGCAGGTTCAGTGCCCACTTAAAAGTCTGCAAATGGGTGAGAGCCTCTAGGTTACTGAGACACGTCTCAAGTTGAAGTTTAGAATTTATAGAGAACTAGAACCCACTTAGCCCTCTGCTGACATGGGCTGGTTACATGGGGAGAACTGGCGGTGAGGCGTGGGTAAGCAAAGAGAGAATCCTCCATCCACAAGGGCACTCTTTGTGAGATGAATGGGGAAGAAAGCAAGCTTTCCCCTAATGCGGAGGAGAGGTGGAGCCATCCCAGGAAAGACTGGTTCGAGCAGAAGCAGAGGGTGCTCAGCCCGGGCAGGCTTGTTCATGAAGGTGGGGGCAGACTCCAATGGTCTGTAGCCTTCAAAACTGTGAAGGTCTTGTAAGGAAAAAAAGGGGGAGGAAGCATTCCAGATTCAAAGATAAAAAGACAGCTAAATACAGGGTGTGACCTTGACTGGGTCATGCATTTGAAGGGGGAAACTACAAAGGACATACCTGGAGACTGACAATGTCTGGAATATGGATTGTCAACTTCTTAAAGGTACTACTTACCTGGATGGCATTGTCCAAATTAACAACTGCACTGAGGTTATGCAAGAGACAGTCCTCATTAGGAAACACACTGAAGTATCTAGCTGAAGGGGACACATGGCAATCTACTCTTGAGTAGTTCAGGAAAATATCCATCATGCAGGGTGTTTACGTATTAGAGAGCAGCTGGGAAGGGCATCAGTAACACCCAGGAACTTGCTAGAAATACAGATTCTTGCCAACTCTTAAGCCAGCTGTCTAGAGATGGGCCCCATCATGTGTTCTAACGTGTCTCCCTGAGATGTTGGTAAAATACACCACTGATATTGAAAGATTGATGAATTTGTTAAAAGGTTAAAACCTGGCTTTGGGGGCCCTCCCTGTTGGTGCAATGGGTTAAAGCGCAGCACTGCTAGTGAGCAGTAGCCTCAGTGCGAGTTTGATCTCCAGCCCTGGAGGTGATCCACAATGGAGCAGCAGACCTCTCCTGACCCATCTGCTGCTCCCCTCAGCAGTGTACTTCATCAATCTGCCTGTTCTGCTCCCCACTACGTCTCTGGTGAATCCTCTCATGGTCCCTGCACCTCTAGCCTGCACCCCAGTTCTGTATGCATAAGTAAATAAATCTTTAAAAAAAACAACTTAACTTTGGGCTAAGGTGGGGGAATTTCCTGCATTATTAAAGGAACTTTTCTGTAAGCTTGAAGTGGTTTCAAAACACAGGGCAAAAAAATTTCCCACAGGTGCTCTAGGTAGAGATGAAGAGAGGAGAGGTCTGGGGTTCTCATAGTACCTATGATGGGCTGAAGGGCAGAGAAGCCCACATAGAGCCCAGAGCAGGAGGGCTGCAAGGTGCTGGGGCAGGTAGCTACCCTGCATGAAATGCAGGCACCCGTGACTCACCTGAGTAGGAGAGTCCGGCGATCTCTAGAAAGAGTTCTTCTTCAGAGAAGCTTTCAGGGAGCATGAGGAAGGCGGCAGTCACAGCGCTCTTGAGATTTCTATCGAGGGCTGACCTCAGTACAATGTTCTCGTTCATGGCTATGATTTTCACCTGAGAAAAGCAGAACATCAAATGAAAAATCCCAGAAGTGGAGCAATGGTCAAGGTGAAGAATTATACATGCACCAGGACTGCCCCTAGCTCTGGGAATATTACGCTAGCCGACACAATCACTCTAGCAAGCAACCCCAGAGCTTCCTGTTTTATGCTCAACTCATAGAACCAATACACACATCCATGCACAAATCTGGTTCTCTCAGATGAGGAAACTCACTAGAAGTTTCTGGTAAAAGGTAAAAAGAAGCTGAATAACAACATTTCATAACACCCACACCTCCTGCACACATGGGGGAGACCCAGCAAAAATAGGATGGCTCTGAAAAATCACCACAGGTTTTATAAATCAGAGTAAATTGAATAAATATCCCCTGGTACTTTAAAATTTTATCATCTCACTGTTCTTTGTAATTTTCTGATGTGCAAGTGGCATACTTGCCTCTGTTCTTGTCCACACATAACCTGAGGGCGATCTATTTGGAACTGATTTTGAACTTGACAAAGAAAGGTGTGAACTGCTAGAAAGAGAGCATGAGCTGGGAGCGCAGTCTGGGCTCAACTCCGGTATTTAATTGCATGAATTTGGGCAGCTTACTGGTTTAAACTTAAGTCCTCAATTTATAAAATGGAGGTAACAGATGTATGTGTTACAAACACTGAATGAGATAACAAATGTAAAGTGTGTGATGTACTAGTAGATGCCTTGATCAACAAAAAGGTTATTTCTCCTTTGATTTCCCACCAGTCCATTAATATATGAACTGCTCCAGGCTGTGCAGAGATTCTTGGTTTCAAAGAAGAACGTGTTCAAGTGCCAGCTCCAGCTTTGGCTGGCTCTGTGACAGTGGTGCAGCGGGGTGCTCCCTATGGATGCTCGGCAGAAGGGAGCCCCACTGCCCGTCTCTCTAGGTGCACATGAGTTTCTCTGGGCCAGTGGGCCTCACCATTAAGGATATCAGAGCTGCCTGGAGGGTTAATTGACACATATTATTTAGGCTCCCACCCTCACCCCCCAGTTTGTGCACGAGGCCTGAAAATGCACCTTTCTACGAGGCCACCAGGAATACTTTGCTGCTGATCAGCAACATTTTGAGAACCATGCCATGTCCACAGCAGCACTGTGGTCGTGCCCATGTGTACACCTGCCATCATCATGAAGCTTCTGATTTTCTGAACAAAGAAAAGTCCCTAAAGAGGACTGCCATAAATACGGGATGTACTAACCATTTGGTTTTGTCACCAAATGTTTTTCCTATTTTAGAAAACATAGCTTAAGTTGTCTTTTATTTGTCAAATACAGGTAACTTCTCACAAAATTAAGATGGCACATAAAAGACACATACTAAGCAAAACAAATTAAAATTTTATTAGAAAGCAAGGAAAGAGAACAAAGCTGTTCAGTTTCTTCATTTTTAAGATAAATTGTAAAAAACAGTATTATAAAACTGATTTTAGAAATCAGGCCTAAGAAGCTAAATTCTACCTTTAACTCTTATCCCTACTTTTTCCTAAGGGAAAACACATGAACATTCATAAAAGCCTGCAGAGGTTTTTGTGACATGCACGCTGGGTGCACAGTTTAGCCAAAGCCCTTGACTCAACACTGCCACCTCCTCCCTTGTAATTACAAGGACTTAATAGCGCTCAATTAAAGCCTTTCAGCGCCTGGGTGAGTTTGCTATCACTGCGATCATCTGCAGAAAGTAAGACCAAAAGCAGCCAGGAGCAAGACTGGCCTATGGTTGCATGAGTCAGTGGCAGAAATCAGGGTAACACCCTATTCTTGGCAAGTTCAGCTCTCAGTATTTTGAACTATCCTCAAGCATTCAGTTAAGCTCTGTTCTGATTAACTTCTTATCTTGAAATGTGACTAAGACAAATCTTCAGGTCCTGTGGAACAAGGAACTTGTTCCTTGAGTAACTTTCCCAAGCCTCATGCTCTGTGTGGACTCACGGACCTCGTAGGGCCACCTCCTCATATCACTCACTGATGGGGAAGTGGGGGCTCTAAGGGTTCAATAATCTCCTCAAGAGAGGCGGTGGCCTGGACGGGCCCCCTGATTTGTCCAGTGCCATTTCCACATCTCATGAATCTCTCCACTTCCCAATTCCTTCTCTTTATCCTCCTCATAAGCTCCTGGCCAATAGTCCTTTACCCTCTGGCTTTTTGGTGACTTTCACAGAAACTCAATGAAATTAGAAGCTACTTTAAGCTAACAAATCAAACAGGCAAAGGTAACAGTTAAGTCTGGGGAAATTTTCCTATGCAACAAATTACCCCTTGTCCTGCAAGAAAGTTATTCTAGTTTAGTGGTGAAAAAGCAATCTGTTTGCTATTCAAGAGAGTGAAGAAAATAAAAAGTATCCTTACTCAAAGGAAAAATGTCAGAAGACTGTACTGTGCTGATCTGGTTCTCCAGTGTAGGGTGACCTAGGAACTTGTCTCAGCAGCACTGCTATTTGCTGTTCAGAGTGAAAAGCCAGTGAACTTCCTGGGACACTGCCAGGGAGGCCTGGGAAAAAAAGAAAGTCCTCAGATTTGTGAATAGCTGTTTGTAACTGACAGGGTGCCCCGACCTGAACCGCGCAGACAGCACTGACACTTCTGCCAGGGAGAACTCTTTACTGCAGAGGAAGGGGCACTGCTTGGAGGGGCTTTCAAAAGCACAACCCAGAGATTTGTGGGCACCTTTCAAGATAGGAAAAAAGGGAAAGTCACATGAGAGCTCCTCCATAGTACAGCACATGGAGACAGGACCTGAATTGCAGAGTGGCTGGATCAGCACAAAGAACACAGCATGACCGGAGTCCAAAAGCACGACCACTCACCGCTTTCCAGGGGAGTCGCCCATCTCAAGTGATCGGCAAGGGGAACTCTAAATGGCCCCTAGCCAGGGCCCAAGAAGGAGCACTGAACATTGAGGTGGATGAGAACTTATCTGTTTTCTATCAGCTGGGCTGTGGGCTCCTCCAGAACAAGCAATGTGAAGTCTTTTTATTCCTTTGACTTACACGGAGAAAAAACTTTGGTGTCTTTTGAATAAGTGAAGGCGTGAAAGGCTCAATCTTTGCATTTCAAAGGCTAGAGGCTCAAAGACTTGCTCACAGCTGGGTAGAGCCCAGACTAGTAAGTCAAGTTTTCCAACTCTATGTTAAGGATCTTTTATACAGTTGGAATTTTTCTACAAACAAAAAGAAAATCAATAAAGCTACAAATCAATAAAGCTGCAAAGCTGTAAACAGACTAAAAACCACTTTAAATGACTGAATTGTAATGTGTGTGAACTGTCTCAATAAAGCTGTTACAAAGCTTTATTACAAGCAAATAAAAAATACACTGTAATACATTCAAATCCTCTCAGTAAGGGAGCGGTAATATTGCTGTATGTCAGTGTATGACTTAAAAACTTCACACAAATTATCAGTACAGTAAAATCAAAGTACAAAAGCACAAGAAAATTAGGGAAATGACTACTAATTTTGAGAGCGGTTATTCTGAATTAAAAAAAGATTGTCCACAAGGGCCTATTACATGCTTCAAGTTTTATGGCTCTTTACTTGAATAATTAATGAGTTGGTATATGACTAAGAACCTTAAGATTGTACTAGATTTAAAAAAATGGGTTGATTCTTCAATTATGAGATAAGCTAATGGTAAAGTATGATAGAAGCGTAATTACTCAACTCCAGAATTGTCCATCTTTTAAAGGTACTCCTTTATATTTCTTTTTGAAAATTATCACTAATAAAACTTTATTTCTTAGAACAGTTTTAGATTTACAGCAAAACTGCATGGACAGCACAGAATGTTCCCCTGTAACCTCTGCAGTCTTTAAAGACTCAAATTGCTAATGATTGAAAAGTCTGTCCTACCTGCAATGTGAAAGGTCATTTCAAAGCTTTAAACAATATAATTTATTGTAACTCCTTTCTTGAAAATACATAAAAACAAAGAATTTACACTTCTCAAAATTCGTTCTTAAGGTATTTATTCTTTTTTTCTGGTACAAAACGCCACCATCCCTTTCTTTTCATCAGATTGGTTCAAGCTTGATTAATATCTGCTGCCACCTAGAGGCAAAAATAGTTTGCTTAAAGGCAGGGCTGGGGATGCGGGGTTAATCTGTAACCAATGAGGAAGCCCGCAGGAGCAGGTGGAAGAGTTAAGTTTGCCCACTTATGACTTCCTAATTTTTTTTTTTTTATTAACCAGATATAATGTTCAATCCTTTCAAGTAACTTTTAAGGAAGCCTGGTATTTCTGTTCTATCAGTTAGAAAGCCTGAGAGACAGTCAGGGATCAGTAACACTTTCTTCTTCCAAGTTGTCTATGAAATGAAATTTTGCATGTTCTGAGTACAACTGCTACTACTGCCTTAAACTGCTGTTTTTATTTTAGCAGGATATAAGACAGTCAGATGAAATCTGAGGTCATTTTCAAAGCTTACATTCTACATTTTCATGGTGCTTCAGTTTTCTAAAGTCTATTATTTTTTTTTAAATATCCCAAAGCAGAGTACAGAGAATAAAGCAGAGTACAGAGAATAATATATCCTCACACTCAGTACCTCATTTTATTTCAAAATAAATCTGAGGTAAGCAAGGACAGAGGGAAAGGAAAGCTCATTTCCCGGGTTTCTCCAGTGCCAGGCATTGGAAAGCTGAACACTCCTCCGGGGCCTGCTGAGGTGGGAGTCACCAGCCTCATCCAGTGATGCCTCCAGGCTCCAGGAGCCAGTCACACTGTTAGGAGTCAGAACTGAGAGCTGAACCCTGGGTCTGCCTGGCTCTGAGTGCCCGGGCCAGCACTCCAATCTGCTTCCACCTCCACCACCTCCAGAAAGCAGGCTGGCGGTGCTGCTGTCCCCTTCTACAGGTTAATTACCTGTAGTCCAGAAAGGTAGAATAAGCTGCCAAGTCTCCATAAATGGCTACTAAGTGGCAGGAGTAAGACTAATTCTAAGTTCATTACTCTCCCCCTCAAACCTCAAATTTTGTTGGTGGGGGAGTAGGAGGCTTAGAAAGAAAACAAGTATTTACAAATTTCCAATTACATTTACTTACTTTTCTAGTTATCCAGCCTAGAGATGAGAACTCCATCTACAGAGCTATGAAATCACTTCAGTAAAGCCTATTGTTTCTGGGTTTCAAAGAATATGTTTACCGAAGTAAAACACACCGGAAGAACACAGGCGTGTGAGCTTGATCTGACACGTTTACACGTGTACACCATGTAACTACCGCCTAGGTCAGGTGTTTCTGGGTGTCTTTAACCACCACCACCATAAAATTCAAGCCTAGGCACAAGGCAAAGCGACACTGACTGCCCACCCAGCCTGACAGATTTTCATGACACAACCCCGAGAGCTGAGGTGGGGTCAAATCTCTGAATTTCTGTGTGGTTTTCTCTTTAGTCTCTCAAGGGAGACCCTTGAAAACAATCCATGAGCCCCCTTGCAGGGGCTAAGACCCTCTGGCAGCACAAAGAAATTTTTCTTGCTGTGAAATTCACCGAATATGATGGCATCACATGGCTCTTAAGCCGTGAAGACCCTTTCCCATAGACTAGACTACATCTTTGCAAAAAGGAAGAAATGTGGTAACTGGAAACACTTCACAAGCTCAAGTTCTTCCCCACTTTCTGTTTCTGCTACGGCCGGGAGACACCGCCCCCGAGCCTTCTAGCAGTGTCCCAGAAGGGGGAGGAAACACAACAGGATGTCACCTTTGGCCCAAGTGGCTGCTGCAGGAGGTCAAATCCCCGCCTCAGAATGACCACCTATGGCGCATCTATGTATTGATCAACTTCTGGGTGCTGATGGCGTGCTGGGTGCTGCCCTAGGCACCACTGGGCACCTCCAAGGACAAACAGTGCCCATGCACTCACGTTGCTCTCAAAGTAAAGGTGGTCTGGCTAGTGCTGACAGAAGCTCCGCTGGGTGGCGGGGGGAGGGATGGTACCCTCTCTGCCATCCTCTCGGGCCCCAGATGCTGCGTCTCAGCCTGATCCATGCAGCCAAAGTGAGAACTTCTGAGGGAGAGCAGGGGAAGTGTGGGTAACATCAGGCTATGTTTGGCCTTGTGTTTTCTATGGAGTAAGAGAGCCTGAAACTCACTCTTTCTTCAAGTTCCATGCCAGTGCAATTACAAAAGTCAAAGTGAGGCCAGGTTCCGAGAAGAGAGGCCTACTCGAAAACACTCACCGGTTTCTGGAGCCTGCCAGCAATATATAAGTTCTTCCACTTGAGGAGATCTTCAATCAAAAGACTAGTACTAATCACCCCATATTTGATAAGCTGGAAAAAAAAAGATATGGGCAAGTTAAAGGGCAAAATACCAAAGGATTGCTGCCACAAATATTAAACATAAGGAAATAGATTAAATTTCTGTCTTTGACTTCCAAAGCTGCTCAAAATGCCTACCTTGTAAAGACACATCTCCTCCCAAATACTTCCCTAAGGGATGTGAGTGACGTGACCACTATTTTAATTCAGGTTCTTGAGGTGTGAGAGGCCATGGCCCATATAGGCCATTAGCACTAATGCTTGGCGACTGGTCCTTTGCCACAGACGTCTGGTAAGTGAGAGGGGAGCTCCTCATTCGAGGAACAAGAACCCAGAGTGCACAGAGTGCACAGAGAACAAGTGACATCCGTGCCCAAGGTGGCATCAGTAGTAGCAGCGTGCAAACCAAGTCCCCCCAAATTTCAGTCTGGGCTTCCAGGGTTTGTCCCATCACAGAACACAAAAATTTTCTTTCTCTCTCACTGCGGACTACCTCAAACACCTTTATAATTATGTGAGGCACCCCCAAATAAAACTCCATCAGAGCTGACAAGGCACGTGGTCAAGCGTATTTCAATAGCAATTTGTACAATCCCCGAGGCTGAGTCCCAGGCTGCAAAATCCCATTTGTATGAACAAACATCTTCAGACTGTCTGTGCTGAACTCCAGTCTCCAAATAGCCTTCTCCAGCTGCAAATATCTAAAAAGTAGCTGAAGAATTTCAATTAAAAACACAGTCCCTGTGACATATAATTATGTCTAAACACTGGGCTACTGGAGCTTATAATATTGTTTGAGAAGAACTAATTAGAGACAGGCTCAATCTAACATTAATTATGGGGAAAGAAGAAAGCGACGTGCTTGGCAGAAGACGTGGCTGAGGGAGGCCGGCTGCAGAGCCTGCTCCCCCACTCCGGCCAGTCCTGCAGAAGCCCCCCGTGTCGCAGGTACCGAACAGCTGGAAGACGCTGGAAACAGCACTGGCCTGGAAGGTGGGGGCCTGTCACTAACTAGCTGCATGCCCTCAGGGGCCTCCTGCTTCCGTCTGAACCTGTTTCTTTATCCACAGGCTGCTGGTGGAGCAGGACTGGACTTCAACCGAAAAAGCAGAGCAATCCATCCATCGCACACTCGTCAAAATCCTCAAGTTCAGGACTCCACCTCCTGTCCTTCAAGGTGTAGAGTTCTGGCCAGCAGCATCAACATCATCTTGGAGCTTGTAAAAATTGTGGCACCTCAGGCTCCACCAACCGTATCAGAACTATGTTTCAACAAGGTGCTCTGTGGACTTATCTGCAATTACCTTGGCCACTCTAGCCACTAGCAGGATCAAGAGATGTGTCACAGCTGGTGGACATGTGGTCCCCAATCTAGGAGGCACATGGCTTAGGTTTCCGGTGGTCCTCTTCAGCTGGGGTCCTGCCTAAATCATAGCAGCCCTCTTGGAGACTGGGCCCTAGGCCTGAGAGTTTGGCAGGGAACCTGCTGTCAGACACACTTCTGCTGGGGTGCATCTTACTTGCTCAGCAACACCCAGCTACCACTAGCGCCACCTGCTTGCTCCCAACTCCCCGTCACACCCTCTTCATTTTCAACTTCCCCTGCAAGTGCCAGTGCATGCAGGTAAGACTCCTTCCCACTAATCCTGAATGTGCCTGTCCATTCCTTCCACTGGACACACCAGTGGTTTTCAAAGCATGCTTTCGAGACCAGCAGCAACATCTGCAACCTTGTCAGAAATGCAGATCCTTCTGCTTACACAGTGGATCTTAAAATTTCTCATTACAACAAAAGAAGATTTGTAACTGGTGGTGATGGATGTGAACTAGCCAAGCACACTACATAACATCTTACAATGGTACATCTAATCAAGGTGTGCACCTAATTAAGACCTACTGAGTTGGAAACTCTGGGTTGGGTGGGGGGTGGGGACAGGGGCAGCAATCTAAGTGTCCTGCAAGCATTCCAGGGGGGGCCGTTGATGCACACTGACATTTGATAACCATTTGGTTAGAGGCAATACCTAAAGGAGCCACATCTGATCACCTTAACCAACAGGAGTGAGAATACTTCCTGACTGCCAAGAACACAGAAATTTAGCTGGCTATCTAGTAACAGAGGTTCTGAGCCATCCGACTGACGACAAAGGCCTGAGTCACTCACCTTACCATCACACATGATCAGTGGATTGTAGTAAACGCCAGCACCATAGTTATTCTGGACACTTGCGATCATCTTAGGCCCCAACAGCTTTAGGAAGGAGTAATGGCTCCAATTTTTCTCCAAGTTCTTTGAATGCCATGCTACAGGGTCATCCACTGTGAACACGAAGTCCAGCATGAGGTCCTATAATGTAATGTAGGGAGAGTGGCTTTAGTGTTAAATTGCAGAAAGGTACCCACACAGAGGAGAAAGCTGGGGTATCCTGTGCCTTTGGTGAACAGAAGACCTGGATTTGCCATCAGAAATTCAGAACTCGAGTCAAATTCAAATTGTTTTCATCAGTAAAAACAAAAAACAGTAAACATTTATTTATCAGGTGCTCTCGTGCCAGTCCTCTGCTAAACACTTTCCGGAGGAGACAGAAAGTGGCTTAGCCTACAAGGGAGGGATCCTTATTATTCCAATTTTATAGGAAAAGGAATAGGTTAAATTTTCCTGCCTAAAGACACGTCACTAGTGAGTGACAGACCTAAGGAGTCTGGTTCCAAATTCTGCAGCTCAAACTTTGCATGACACCAGCTTTCAGCTAAATGTGCTTTACTTTTCTTCCAGGCCCAGCAACACCAGATGGGTAACCTCTATAAAGTATCATGTAAAGGCAAGTAAGTTATTTTAACTCTCACCCACTGCTCCCTGAGCACCTGAGAGTTGGTGCAAGGGCAAAGGTAAGGAGCCCAGCATGCACTGGGGATAATAAACGGTTATTCAGCAGACTTCAGGAGCCTACAGGTACTAACTTCACTCAGAGTGGGGTCAGGACAACAGAACGGAGAAAATTCCCTACGAAATTACTTTTTTTCAGGATTCTGATAAATCTGCATCTTGGAAAATGAATGAGTTAATAGGGCAGGCTGGGTGGAAGCATGCGAGGAGCCGCCGGGAAGGGGCAGGTCCCTCGGAGGCCAATGCCTCTGTGGATATGGGCAGTAGGTGTTGTATTTCCTTTTATGTGGCTGTTAGAACACAGGTGGGGGAGTGGTGGGAGATGAGACAGTGAGGCGGCCACGCTAAGAAACGTTCCTGCAGAAGAGATCCTTGGTGGGTGGAAAGACTGAGGGGCAGGGACACCTCACAAGGGGATAGCTGGAAGATTCCAGGTGGGAAATGGTCACTGTAGGCACTAAAAATAGAGCCCGATCCAAGAGACATAGGTGTCAGACCTCCGACTTGTTGACTGACTTGATAACTTGTAGGGAAAGAGGGTGACGGCGAGGGCAGGAGGGGCCTTTCCCCGGAGGGAATTCCAGGCACGGAAGGCGGAGGTGGCTCTCCACCCAGGCCAGCTTAGCGCGTCCCACCATGTGCTCTGCACACCACTGCTGACAGCTTGAGACTGGAGGGCGCGGGGCGGGCCTGTCTCCTCGTGACGTGTCGCTAATTACCTTCGCAGCTAACAAACCTTGACGTACGTTAAAGTGGCATGCGGGACCGATCCCCTACGACCCCTCCGGGGCGCACTTTCGGCCCCGGCCCCGGGCGCGTCGGGGCGCCGCGCGCGGAGCGGCAAGCGGCTCCCGAGGCAGGCCCGGCAGAGGGCCCACGCGACCACGGGCCGGCGCGGCGAGGGGCTGGCCAGGGGCCGCAGGGAGGGGCCGGTCTCACCTTCTGGTCTGAACTGGGCCCCGCCTGGCGGTACACCCCCGAGCCGTAGGCGAAAGCCAGACTCAGCTCCTCGGGGAAGTGCGACAGGATCTTGCGGAAGGCCACCCCCGAGCTCCGCAGCGCCTGCAGCGCCATGGGGCCGAGGCTCCGCGCGGGCACCCGTGGC